GAATGTGTTGACTTTTATAGTAAACTATACAGCAGCAGATCAAGACACAATGAAAGCGATAATGTCCGGTTTTTCCCAGATGACAATTTTGTGCGGCTCGACGAGGATTCCAAAGCATCCTGTGAAGGTCTTTTAAATGTGAATGAATGTCGAAATGCTCTCAAGACGATGGAAGCAAACAAGTCGCCAGGCTCAGATGGGTTTCCAGCAGAATTTTATAAGGTATTATGGAGTGATATTGCCTCCTTTTTAGTGAAAGCTATTAACTGCTCTTTTCAAAAAGGGCTACCATCGGTGACGCAGCGACAAGGTATTATTTCTCTTTTACCAAAGAAGGACAAAAACCCTCTTTTTCTAAAAAATTGGAGGCCAATTTCTCTTCTAAACTGTGATTATAAAATCGCGTCTATAGCGATAGGTAATCGAATAAAGCGGGTTCTTCCTAAAATTATCAATGGTGATCAAAGTGGCTTCTTGAAGGGATGCTCTATTGCAGAAAATATTTTTCTTATTGACGGTATTATAAATTACGCAAAGCCAGGTAATATGAATAAACCGGGTTTATTGATGTTCATTGACTTTGAGAAGGCATTTGACTCGATAATGTGGGCTTTTATAGAAAGAGCCCATAACTATTTCAATTTTGGGCCCTCTCTAGTAAACTGGTTCAGATTATTTTATAATCAGGTCTCCAGTGCTATCCAGAACAATGGATGGGTCTCGGAGAGCTTTCCTTTAGGTAGAGGGGTCAGGCAAGGTTGCCCGATGTCGCCATATCTATTTATAATATCGGCCGAGATATTACCCAACTTCATTAGGAGAGATAAAGACGTAAAAGGTTTTATGACGGGTGAAGTCGAACACAAGCTAAGCCAATTTGCTGATGACACGACGTTGATACTCGATGGCTCGGAGGGCTCTTTTCGTAAGAGCAATCGAGGTTCTAGATGGGTTTCAAGTGACTTCTGGCCTTAAGGTAAATTATGAGAAAACCAAAGTGCTCTGGGTGGGTTCGGCAAAAAACAGAGGCCCTATAGAGTGCAACAAGCCTGATATCTCCTGGGTGGAGGGGAAAGTCTTTGTATTAGGTGTGTGGCTCGCAACGGACAGAAACGTAATGCTCGGTTCTAACTACGATGAGAGGATTGGGAAAATAAAAAAAACGTTATTGAAATATGGCAATTTAGGAGCTCACCTTATTGGGAAAATCACTCTTATCAAAAGTCTTCTAGTCTCCCAACTCATTTATATTTTGACTCCGCTCCCTACTTATACAAACGCACTACAAATGGTCAACAAACTTCTTTTGAGTTCCTTTGGGACGGTAAAGGCGACAAGATTAAAAGAGGGCATATTATAAGGGATTATGAGCAGGGTGGTTTGAGGGTGATTGACATATATCAATAAGTCTCTCAAAGCATCCTGGATCAAGAAGTACCTTGACCCGACAAATAATGGAAGATGGAAGTTTTTTTTTTTTTTATGACAATCTTAAAATGTATGGTGGGAAATTTATCCTCTCTTGTAATCTACACAAAGATGACATTCCACTGTTAAAAATACGTAATCCTTTTGTATGTGAGGTCATGTCAATCTGGACGGAATTGCATTTCTCTGATGCTGTAGCCATCTCCACTGGAAATGTTGGCGATCAGATTATCTGGCTTAATTCATTGATAAGAATTGACAATCAGCCTGTATTCCGTAAACACTGGATGGATCATGGTGTCTGCAAAATTTCTCATCTATTAGATGAGGGTGGGAACCTCCTCGGATATGATGCCATGAAATCTAATTTTCAGGAGTTAAATTGGTTAGAATATTGTAGTATAGCTTCAGCTGTTAAATCACTTATAAATAAGGTGCAAAATGAACCAACGTACGAGGTTGTTGCCACCGAGGGAACATCTATAACTGAATTAACATCTAAAAGTAAAGTTAACAACTTTATTTATAAGTCGCTACTGACAAGAAGAATCTCTACACCCATAAGAGGCCAAGAGAAGTGGCTCAGTGACCTTCAAGTCGAAAATGCAAGTGATATTGATTGGAAATATGCATACACAATCGCTTTCCACTGTACGGCTTCTACAAAATTAAGAAATTTTCATTATAAGTTTTTGCATCGGAGGATTGCTACCAATAGTTTTTTAAAGAAAATTAATTTAAAGCAATCGGACAAATGCTCTTTTTGCCAAAGGGAAATAGAGACTATATCTCATCTATTTCTGAGATGTTCGGCAACAATTGCTTTTTGCAACGATGTTAAACAATTTTTAATTCAAAAGGGCCTCAAGAGTACTGCACTAACCGATCTGCATCTGACGGGACTCTCTAAATTTGCACCCTCTACCGCCATTGATCTCGTTCTTCTTATTGGGAGACATCATATATACTCGAGCAAACTTGCAGGTACGTCTCCTGTCATTGAGATGGAAAAACGTGACGTCATACTGGCAGGTGGACTGTACCACAGATTTCCTTGGAGACCACTCGCCCCCCCACCCCCCCCCTCTGCGTGAACCCAATTCTTTTCAGATGCAGAAATTTTTCCGAAATCAGACCACCATTGCAAAAGCTCGGAATTAAATTAAGGAAGGTCTGGGTAATCTCTAATATTATAATTGCCTTTAAAGAAGAAAACTCCTTCATAAAAGATGTAAAGATACCTTTTCCAAAATCCATCATTATATAGTACCAAGTAGACGTTTTCACCACGCGAGCCTCAGTGACATTATTATGCTGTCGACATCAGTCATCTTTAGTGCACCTTTTTTCTACTCATTAATTACCAAGACTCGAGTCACCTTATCAGGTCCTTTCCATAAGAAATGAAGCAGTATTTGGTTTAATTCTTTCACGAATTCTTTAGGGGTAGGCAACAAAGAAGATATATAGACAAAAGGGGTATTAATACGGATTTTATAAGAGCCACTTTTCCGTAAATAGAGAATCCTCTAGAGGACCAAATCCTGATCAGTTTTTTAATAGTCTAGTCTCTCTATGAAGTTTTTCTCAAGAAGCAACAGTTGATCGTAAGTATAAAACACACCTAAGGCTTTGATGGGTTCACTGGGCCACTTAAGCCCAAAGGGTTTTGAATTGTTATTTCTTGAAGATCCAGGCCACATTGTTTCCGTCTTAGTGCGTTGATTTTTAGACCAGAAATATCTTTAAATGACTCCAACAGACTAAGGAACGCTGAGGCGGAGTTCTCATCTGCTAATACAACTGTGGTATCGTCTGCGGTACTGTAGTAATTTAGTTTCTTCTTTGCCAATGGAAATTCCTCTGATATTACAGTTTTGTCCTATTGAAACTGCCAATACCTCTGCAGCGAGAAC